AAGTACTAAGAGAGATAGAGATGGAAATTGCAATGTAAATAACCTCAAAAAAGTATCGATTCAACCTCAAGTACATCTCATTTCATGTTTAGCATTAAGCTCTTGTTCCCCTCAAATAATACATTCTCCTTTAGTCTCACCTCATTATTACACTGGAAAAAATATCAATCAACAGATTGAAAATTCAAACATTGAAACCCAATTATGTAACAGAGATACAATACAACCAAGCATGCATGCATGCATGCATATGAACACCATTGCTTTCCATCATTCATTCAATCCTGCCATGGCATTGCATGTGTTTTTTAAGGGAGATCATATGATATAATCCAAGAAATGTTTATGGCAACCCTCATTCAACCATTCATGAAGAAAAACTGATTTCTTCCTCCCCAAGAAATATGACAAATCTTGATTTTGGAGACTCATTCACTACAGATGCTCCTCATTATTATCTTCTTGTATTTGTACTTCTTGAATTCTATCAACAGCTTCATTTAAATCCAATCTCTTATCAACATCCATTTCACAACAAGCCAATGCAATCTTCAAAAGCTTAAATATCTCTCCCTCACTATTTCTACCAAACTCCATATCTTTATCAAACACTTGACTAGTCCACTCTTCTTGCACAACCGAATCAACCCAATTCGCCAAACTCACCTCGCTTTGTTGTATAAAATTAGCAGGGAACTTTCCAGTTAGAATTTCCAAAGTGAGTAAACCAAGACTCCACACATCAGTCTTCTTAGTGATCCTCCCATGCTGCAAATACTCTGGTGACTTGTATGCAACCATTATTTCATGAGCAATATCTTGGTTTATCACAGGTATTAATCCATAGTCAGTTAATATAGGCTCCATAGAATCACTCAATAGAACATTTGAAGATTTAAGATGACCGTGAGGCGCAATCAAGTTCGGCATTTCTTTGTACAGATATTCAATACCTTGTGCTACACCTTTCACTATCGCCAACCTTTTCGGCCAATCAAGGCTTACTTGTCCTATAGCTTGGTATCCTGTATCAGATGTAAAAGTTAGTTACACTAGTTAGTTTTTTAATATTGAATCTATATTCTATGATGGGGAAACATGTACCGTGAAGACGGACGGCTAAGCTGCCATTGTGAATGAAGTCGGTAACGAAGAGTTTTTCATCTCTTTTGTAGTAGTAAGCTAAGAGAGAAATGAGATTAGGATGATTCAACCTTCCTAATCTTCTCATGTGTTCTTTAAACTCTTCCCTACCAAAATTGTTCATCTGTTTGAATCTTTTGACAACAACGGTAGAGCCAGTCAACAAACCAGCCTTGTAAGATGAACTGTGACAACCACTTCCTAATATCTCAGCAGAGGCTCTCAAAAGATCTTGTAAATCAAATTGTTCTGATGCTTCTTCCCTAACAAAAGATAACTTCATTTCTTCTCTTCTGCTACTGCTGTTGCTGCTTAAGCGTGATCGTGTTGAATCTCCCTGATCATCTGAATTATTATTATTATTTGAGGATGATGGTCCTCTCTTTTGAGTAATACTACTATCCACAGTGATGTTGCTGGTGTTTCCAATTAAAGCAACTCCTCCTCCATCTACTATTGCTCCTTGTTCAGTTTTTTTCCTTCTTCTAATAAGGAAAAATAATATTACTGCTGCAATCACAAGCAATGCAAGACTAACAAGAACCACAACCACAATACTGTTCACATTTATGGATGATGATGATGATGATGATGATGATGATGATGATGGTGATGATGGTGATTTCTTTTGAGATGAACATGGTCCTAGAGGGGCTCCACACAGCTTTTCATTACCTGCGCTGACCCTTTTTTTGTATCAATTCATTGATTACTATATGAGCATGTCTGAATTTGAGTTTATCTAGTAATATAAGTACTTGTAAAACTATTTGAAAGACATTATGAAAACAATTTGTTTTCAGGTTATTTCTTTAAAGTCATATGTCTTACCAGAAAAAGATGAAGCTGGAATCTTGCTAAGGGTGGCAGGTATTTGACCCTCTAACTGATTATTTGCTACACTGAATGATTTAAGAGTGCGTTGAAATTGAGGAATAGGACCAGTGAATTTATTTCCATCCAACTTCAAGGATATGAGCCTCGGCAGGGAAGCAAGGGAAGATGGAATAGGACCAGTGAACTGATTGTTAGAGAGATGAATTTTCTTCAACCATTGCATGCTCTTAAACGTGTCATCTGGAATCTCACCAGAGAATTTATTATCAGAGAGATAAATGGTCTTGAGACCAGAGAGTTTGTGGAGGTTGGGCCAGGGTGAATCGAATTGGTTGTGCATGAAACTGATGGTTCTGATATAAGGTAAATCCTTGATTACATTGACGTCGATGGTGCCTTTAAGGTTCATGTTTTCGAGTTTGAATCCCCAAATATGTCCTTTATAGCAAAGAACGCCGGACCAATTAGCGTTATCACCATCACAGGGAGGGACGGATGTGTTCCATGAAGATAACGCGGTATCGGTGTTTTGAAAAGAGGTTTTCAATTTGAGGAGAGAATCTATATCTGAAATCGATGAGGAGATTTCGATGAGAATAGAAAAGAAGATGGTTAAAGAAGTGATGAAGAGTTTTCGTGCCATAATAATAACAATGTAGTGAAGGGCATGCACATGATGCACACGCATTTGCACTATAATGATGAATGATGATGAGATGTTAGCGAGGTTGATCAACAGCCGTTTTGGAAGGTGGAGAGAGATGGCGTTGCATTTTTGAGATGCAGGGAGCAGGAAGGAAGATACAGAGCTAATAATAGAACACATGCATACAAAGTTGGTTTGTTGGTTAAGGTTGTTTCTTTTGTTTTTGTTTAATTAATTAATTAATTCAGAGATCCATAGAGTGAGGTTAATTAATTAATCAATTGACCCAGTCCTTTAATTATTTATGTATTTTCTTGTTTGTGTTGCATCATATAGAGAATGGGAATGACATGTCACAACCAGAAATATACTCCTTTTAATCCTAAATATAATCTTAAATATAAGATAAAGACATAAAATTGCGTCAATTTTGTTGACACAATTTCACATTTATAAAAATCAAAAGAAATATCATTTTTATTTATAATCCTTTTATATATTATTACTTATAATTTGTATAATTTATTTATTTTAACACAAGGATCAAATTTATTTACGAAAAACATTAAGGGAAGATCAAGTTTATTCAATGAAAAATATTATGGAAGTAATGTCATTGTTTGAAGAAAAATTTAAGAGGATCAAATCGAAGTGACTCATAGGGAGATATGGATTCAATACCGTTTAACTAGTTTTACTACATATTTAAAAATTCACCGACTATATTCTTTCTTCAATTCTAATTTTCCCTTATTCTTCATTCATTAAAGATGGTGATTTTAAGGTCAATTTTTGATCCAAAATCATCTATCTGATTTCTTTTTCTTTGTAATTTCGTCGTCTTAGTGCAACGTTGTATTGCTCGTCTTATTGTGATGTTATTTTGTTTTTCCGTCTTAGTGCGGTATTAGTTTCGACTCGATGCATATCCAATCAATGATTTTGACGTCGTTAATGCTGCAGATTCGGAGACATGAGAATTCTGAGCATTTCAATTTCGTCATATTTATAGACTTTATCATCACATTTGTAGATATTTTTCTATTATATGCTATTAACGTGAGTGCTAGATTCATCATTTTCATTTATAGCGATTTTGAATATGTATTATTCGATGTATTCTATCAATTTAAATGAATGAAAGTCGTTTTTAGTCCAAAAAAAAGAGTCTAACTGCATGAAATCAGGATATTTGGACCGACCGATTTAAATTAGACACTGTATTTAAGAAGATCCAACTTTAACCACCTAAATTCAACAGTTCAGAACACTATAATTATAGGGTTAAATATACTTTACCCCCTTGCAATAGTAGCGAGTTTTGATTTACCCCCTATTAAAAAAAAATTATTTCCGCCCCTTAACAAATATAGTTTCTCAAACAGAAAACCATGTACCCCAAGATTCCCATGAGTTTCATACGTGACATTAGATTCTTTGCTGACTATGTTATTAAAAGTCATGCTGGAATGTTTGTGCATATTAAGAGTCAACCATTTTACATGAGTCGATACATAACACGTATGTGTCGACACATACTGAATTGAATTTTTTATTTTTGAAGATAAAACGTGTTATGTGTCGATGCATGGAGTTATGTATCGATGCATACAAGTTGAAAAATATTTTCCAAGGACATCAACATATCATGTGTCGATGCATGAAGTTATGTATCGATGCATAAATGTTGAAAATTGTATTCCAAGGGCATCAACATGTTATGAGTCGATGCATAACATAGATGTGTCGACTCATACTGAAGCAAAATCATTTTTATGATTCTTTGCGTAAGTATGTGTCGATGCAAAGCTCTTTGTGTCGACTCATAAAAGTGTTTTATGTGTAAAATACATTCTTAACTTTTTTTAAACATGTTATACTATATTTTTACAATGCACACATATAGATAAAAGCATTTTTAACATTCATTAATTATTTCACACATATTTGCTATCGTTCAAAACTAATTATGTGAGGGGGTTGCTCACAAAGGATTCATTACATGAAGGCATAAGTAGAACAAAATCCAATATCATTACAAAAGGGCATAACAGCCTAACAAACCATAAGGACACAAAATGTCAATGTCATTACAAAAGGGCATAACAACCTAACAAACCATAACTTAATGCCAAAGTATCAAAATGGCATAATAGACAGTACAAACATAAGACTACTTCTTCTTAGATTTCTTCATTGCACGTTTAGAACCACTTCCTTCTTCTTCTTCTGTCAAATACATAGGCTGCTCGGAGTTTGAACCTGGCCCTTTGATTGGTTTTTGAAATCATTGGAGTTTTATTCTTTCACTGGACCACTTTCTCAGTGGCCTGACATCTTTCACTTTCAATTTTTCTTGCCTCTGTTGTCTGATTTACCAACCACAGCAGAACACTGTCGTGTTTACTTCAGGAATGCTTGAAATGAAATCATCAATTATGTCGCCAAAATAGTCAACTGGTTCATTGGTTGTAGTTTGAGTTGCAGCATGGGGTACTGCAGTTTGAGTTGCAGCATGGGGTACTGCAGTTTGAGTTGCAGCATGGGGTACTACAGTTTGATTTTCACTAGCTTGTGTTGCAGTTTCAGTTACAGCACGGGGTACTGCAGTCTGAGTTCCACCAGTGGTTGCTGCAATTTCATTTTCATTTGTTGCAATTTCAGTTTCAGTTGTACCTACCTTGGCCTTCCTCTAATTAAACACGTTACTTGTTAGTTCAAAAATACATGATATGTTAGTTCGAAATACATGATATGTCAGTTCAAAATACACACTAATAATACCTTTCTCTTTAGTCCATTAGCATCTTGTGTTGTGCTTTTACATGTTTGCGCACTGTGACCAAATTTGTCACACTTAGTGCATCTGTAAGATACACCTGACAATCTTCTCCTTCTAGCACCCTCTTCACCACACTCCCTTATCCTTAACTTTCTTGGTCTGCCTGGACCTTTCTTGTACATAGGGGGTAAAATCTCATCTGACTGAACTTCTGGCCACATTTCCTCACCATTAATTGGACTCACAGAAAAACTATAGCATATTGCATACTTGTCTCTATAATAACAGTGATCAACAAAATCCTCTGGATTTTGTTGCCTAAATCCTAAAGCAGCAACATCATGCCTACAAGGAATACCAACTAAATCCCAGAAAATCAAGAATACCAACATTTTTCAACTTGTATGCATCGATACATAACTCCATGCATCGACACATAACACGTTTTATCTTCAAAAATAAAAAATTCAATTCAGTATGTGTCGACACATATGTGTTATGTATCGACTCATGTAAAATGATTGACTCTTAATATGCACAAACATTCCAACATGGCTTTTAATAGCACAGTCAGCAAAGAATCTAATGCCACGTATGAAACTCATAGGGAATCTTGGGGTACAGGGTTTTCTGTTTGGGAATCTATATTTATTAAGGGGCAAAAATATTTTTTTTTTAATAGGGGAGTAAATCAAAACTCACTACTATTGCAAGGGGGTAAAGTATATTTAACCCATAATTATGTTAATAGCAAAACAATTTGTGATATTTTATATAAGTAAAAGACAATCGAGACCGCAAATCTCAAGCACTCAATTTATAGAAAATAGCAAAATGCATTTATTATGTACAAGTTTCCACACGAATTCAAGACAGAATTTCTCAAGGCTTTATTGATCAGCTTAAGCAAGCACCTTTATAAACAATATATTGCCTCTTCCGGGTAAAGAAGGACAGTCAAGATGGTATTCTAAGGATTACTTATGACACAGTCTTGAAGGTCATGCTTGATCAACAACTTCATCACTGACCTTGACGTGTTGCAGCGGCAAGTGGTTCAACAGCGGCTAAAGGATTAACTTGATACGAAAATGCAAGCTGCCACAAATCGACCAAAGCCCTCTTCACTGCGACCACTTGTCTTCTTACAGTCCTAAAACATTAATAGTAACTCTATTCAGAAATTCATAAAAGATCAGTAACAACAGCCCAGAAAAGAAAACCAACACCAAAACAGTCAGTAGAAAAATAAAGATTAGTTTAAGCTAGCTATTTTTGACACGCAACTCTAATGTGGGAGGATATGGACATGAGATTCTACTAGGTAGCCAAGAATTCAAGTGATTACCTTTTCAAAGTAGCTTGCTTTCTTTTGATAACATAACAGGCAAACAAGATCAAGCAGCTAAGTATAATCTTCCCACTAGGAACAATGAACTCCACATTACCAAACTTCAAATTAATAGAACGGAAACACCAGAAGCACGTCTCTATTCGTTCAGACAATTTTGACCCTCCATCTTTGGACCTATACATTTTATTGTCTGCATACTTGGCTTTCAATGCTTCAGGCGATCCTCTACTCTCGTGTAATTCTTTCAACGGATAAGTTTCATTGTTATGTCTAGCCGATGTATGTGATTGCAGAGAGGAAACTTGGGACAAAATGGTATTTTTAACAGAATGCATAGAGTATAACTTTCTCAGAAGTCCCTATGAATACAGTGGCATACCAATATTTAGTAAATGCATGGGAGAATCCTATATTAGGACAAACAGACTGATATTCAAAAAAGCAGGAGTTTTCAAATATTCAAAACTAGCTTTGATATTACATTGCAGAGAATGGTTGTTACTTGTTATATTTACGAGTTCAATCTGCTAGGCATCAAGTCTTTATAATGAATGAAATAATACCCACTCTTGACAACAAAATAATCACACGGCAGATTTTCTTTATAAAGAAATCATCTTTTGTAAATGTTGAGCTAAATATTTCCTTAGCTGTTAGACTCTAAATAAAATCCTTATTTTAAGAAACCTAATCATCTTAAATTCTTAATGCAAATCAATAAGCAGTTAATATAAAAAAACAAGTAGAATCAGAGAAAGACAATTAACTTAGGAATCGGGCTTTGAGCAGTAATGTAGAGAAAATAGATGTCATATATCTAAGGTAGGCGGGTAAAATTGAAATAAAAATATGTACAAAAAACAAATTATAAGGTCAGAATCGGTGATACACAAAGTAACATTTATTATCATGCTTCAAGTTTTAGACTTTACATGCCAAGAATAAAATCTGGGTCTTTAGTCAACTCAATGAAACTTACCTTCTATTAACATATGCACAAAGAACAATCAGAACAAAGAGCAAAGACAAGACTAGAAACAACTATTTGTTTTAGTTCTTGCAATTGGTATAAAATAAAAGCATATGATTATGATATGATATGTGCATAATGATCTTAATGCTCAGTTCCTACTCAACCGCATTGACATTCGACAACACCATTGACATTTCACATGTGCCATCCATAGAAAATTCAGCTGATATACTGTTCACAAAGTGCATACCAGAAGGAAAATCGAGCAAGTTTAATCAGGCAAAACAAGAACATAACTCTGTTTCCCAATTCCAGTTGAAATTACTGATTAAAAAAGGCTTTAACTGTTGTTGAAGAACTACTTACAAACTTAATCTGCAAAGAACACTCTTACCTGTCGATTTTCCTCAGGCAACGGAGCATTCTCAACCCAGGAAATCGCAAGATCTACATCTTCTAGAACCGTTGCAAGAACTGTGATGGAGTAGACTTCAACAATTTCCAAATATTCATCAATTCCAAGAACAAAATGCCTTGCAAAACTACTTCCATGCTCTACATTTACTTCTGCAATGACAGCATGATATTGCCCATCACCAAGAGTCCAGCCATTAAGAAATTCTTCCAAAAATTCTCGAACACCCAAACCAGAACCTAGTCCTAGTTGAAAACAAACTCTGAACCAAATAACAGAAAAACACAAACATGAGTTTCAGCAATAGCGAATAACTGTGAAACAAAGCAAAAACCATACCCAGTGAGAACAACTTGTGCAGGAACAGCTTTTACTGAACGAAAATACATTCTAAGTTGATCGAGAATTTCCGGTGTTCTGCCAAGCTGGTTGAATGCTTGAATGAGAACCATACCTGTTGATTGAAACATATCTTGAATTGCAGTGTCTCTGTGATCATAATCACGCGGCAAGCGTTTCATGATAGAGGAAGCTAATGATGCAGCTTGTTCATACATGGAGCAAACAAGGTAGCTACAAAGCAAAAACATCATTGGAAGTATCAGCAATAGAAAAACCCTAATATTTCAGTTACAGAAGAAATGAAGAAAAAATTTACCTTTCTGAAGCCTCGATTTCTTCCCATGTCGGAGTTTCGGACTCCGAATGTTCCATAATTTCCGATTACAAATGCAGCGAAGAAATGTGAAAAATTGAAAGATTACGAGTCTCTAGTGTTTACAGCGAAGAAGAAAGGGATCGGGATTGTATACGTTTGTAGCGGGAAAGGTACATAATTTTTGATCGATTTAGGCCGTCCGATGTATCGAACGGACTATAAGTTGCCACGTGTCTGAGAGTTTATATAGAAAAATAAAAAATAAAAAAAATATCACCAACAACGTGCATAAACCCTAACAATGAATCAAAAACCCTAGAAACGTAATCACTGGTAGGAGCAGAATGGGGATTTTTGAACCTTACAGAGCGATCGGATGTATCGCCGGCGGCGTCCCCTTCTCCGTTCAGAGGCTCGGTACCGAAGCTTTCGTCACCGTCAGTGTTGGAAAAGCTTTTCAGATTTTCAATGTAACAACACTCACCTTCCTTTTTTTCTTCCTTAATTTGTTTTTGATATATGTTATGCTTCTCTTCATTGAACATTCAATTGCTTCCTTCAGTGTGCAAAGCTCACTTTGGTTCTCGTTGGTCCTCAACTTCCTAAGAAGATTGGTGCTCTTGCTTCGTATCGCGATTATACTTTTGTTGCATATGGAAACAACATTGGTGTTTTCAAGCGAGCACACCAGGTTCTGTGCATTGGGATGCTGTTAAATTTTTAGTTTTGTTCTTTTGGAGGATTTTATTTGGGAAATTTTAACATTTGTTACATTTTCAGGTTGCAACTTGGAGCAGTCATGATGCTAAGGTTAAATCGCTACTGTTGTTTGGAGAACATATTGTTAGTCTGGATGCTCAGGGCAACATGTTCTTGTGGGCGTTTAAGGGAATTGAAGATAACCTTGCTCCCGTTGGACATTTTATGCTAGATCAAAATTTTAGCCCCAGCTGTATTATGCATCCGGATACTTACCTAAATAAGGTGAACATATCTTTCTCAATGTCAAAGATTTGTAGATATAGATATTGTATCAGTTAAACTTAAACCGAAGACCACTTTAAACAGGTTCTTATTGGGAGTGAGCAAGGGCCTATGCAGCTTTGGAACATTAGCACAAAGAAAAAAATATTTGAGTTTAAGGGATGGGATTCACCTATCTCCTGTTGTGTCTCGTCCCCTGCTCTAGATGTTGTTGCTGTTGGCTGTGCGGATGGGAAGATTCATGTTCATAACATACGTTATGATGAAGAATTGGTTACATTTACACATTCCACACGTGGTTCTGTAACTGCTTTATCTTTCAGTACTGGTAGGACCGAGGAACATTCAAATTCCATGCAATACTTTTATATTTCTTTGCTACTCCCTCCGTCTCATATTAAGTGTCTGCGCGGTTCTTAAGAAAATGATTAGATGTGTTGATTTGAATGATAAAATTAATATCATTTACTAAAACACCCTTATTTATTATAGTTAGTAGAGTAGTTGAAAAGCCTGAAAGCTAATAAATAGGGGTATTTTAATGGAAAAAAATAAATAAATATTGTATTGGTATTCTAAAGAGACATTTATTTTGAGACATAGAAAAAGTGCAAATGAGACACTTATTATGAGATGGAGGGAGTAGTAATTTGTTTGCTAATTTTCTTTCTTATGCTACATGAAATTATATTTGTCTTTTATTTATTGAAATTGAAAATGAAATTAAAAGGATTAGTCGTTTTTAAAGTTTCCATTGGCTTTTATTTTAATGAAGTGCATAGGGTGTGTTTGGTTCAAATGAGAGGAGGGGTGGGGTGGGGACAGATTCAAAGAGATATTGTGTTTTGTTGAGAGGAAAGGAGGAATTTTAACGGAGGGACGTTGCTAAATTGTTTTTTACATCAACCATGTCATATTTTATGCCAAGATGTTTTAGTTTATCGCTTAAAATTTTATAAAAACATCTCTGCTCTCTTCTCTAAATTTTCCCAAAGTTAGAGATAAGCCAAAATTAAGTGAGGAAAGATTTTGCATTTCCCTTCAACTTTAGGTTTTTTTTGCTTGTGCAAATTTGAATGTGGTGCCAATTTAAGTAATAACTGTTTGTGTTTTGTTTTGAAGTCTCAGTCAAATGAATTATTTTGATGTTTTCTATTCGAGTAGTTGACAGTTATGTCAGTCACACTTTTGATTTTCTTTCGTTGGCCATTAATCACAAGGTTGGCAATTTTCATGTCGATCAAACTGATCTGTTGACTTCTATCTTAAAGAATAGAAGAATTAAGAATAAGAATGCATCACACATCACAAAATTAAATCGAAAAACTGTGTCTCTTTGTGTTATTCTGTGTTATTTATTGGATTATCTGTTTTAGATGGACAACCCCTTCTGGCTTCTGGAGGTTCATCTGGTGTTATAAGCATTTGGAATTTAGAAAAGAAAAGGCTCCACTCAGTTGTAAGAGAGGCTCATGATGGTGTGATAACTTCACTGCATTTTTTTGCTAACGAGCCAGTGCTAATGAGTTCATCGACAGATAACTCTATTAAAGTAAGATTTTTGTTATGAATTGACGTGTATGCTCATATATTTTTTCCATATTGATTTTCCCTCCATTAATTGAGCTAAATGTTGCACCTGAACTACTTTTTCTTTTATATAGTTAAGATAATCAATTTTTGTAAGTAAGATTTTTTAAATTTTCATTTGTAGTAGTGCCTGATTTTGCTTTGGGTTGGATATATGTTTCTAATGTTTTTACTTATCTGTTTTGCCTGAACATGAAAGAGTGGCTTTTGTTTTTTCTCAGATGTGGATTTTTGACACAAGTGACGGTGACCCTCGCCTTTTGCGCTTTCGAAGTGGGCATAGTGCTCCTCCCCTCTGCATAAAGTAATAATTATTTTCTGGATTTTAGTTAATGAGGATTTTTTATTTATTAACTTTGTTGGGTTATGTTCCATTTGACAACCTTTCCTTGGATGACAATCTCTACACAAATGACGTGATAATGGATTTCCTTCTTAGTTTATAACAATATTTTTTTCAATTAGCTTCGTTGTCTAGTGCTAATTACTATTGAAACATCTACTCCACCATCTCTTCTTTATTTCCGTTAGTCCACCTTCCTTGGATGAAAGTTCTTTCTGCATTTTGGTTATAAAGAGTGGTTTGACTTTTGATTTCTGAATGAAGGTCTCTATCTATCTTACCCCTAACATGCTTGGAAACAATGCCACTTTCAAGGCCTTTCTGTGATTTTCAGCATATGGATTCGTTGTTGAACCCCCTACATAGATTTGCTAAGGGAATGTAAAATTATTTTCCATTAACAGTTCTGTTTGATGAGGTTTTGTTTTGTTCCTTTTTGGTGGTTGTTTTACTAAATTATTTTTGTGAAGGATTCGCTACCATTCTGCCTCCTTCCTTTTTAACCGTTCTTATTTTTTAAGTATTTGGTTTAAATTAGGCTATGCGTTTTTGGTATTGTCACCGTATTACACAATGGTTGTAAATCTCACACTTCCAATTTGCCATGTGTCAGGTTTTATGCCAATGGAAGACATATTCTTTCTGCTGGCCAGGATCGAGCCTTCCGCCTTTTCTCTGTTATACAGGTTAGTCATAGTTCACTTACAGAATGCTTTCTCTATTTATTGGTGTTCTGTTCAGTTTGGTTGTAATCAACGAAAATGTCATTTATTCAGGATTTTTATAATCTATAAGTTTTAATCATCTAAATACCTCATACAATTTAAGCCTTTTTGATGTTTTCTAATAAGCGAGTATTTGAGTTGGAGTGGCACTTTACACTCAATGTAGTACTTTAGGTTTATTACTTATTTATTACTAGTAGACTACTCTGCCAAGAGGGAAGAGTATTACTCTTTTGTACATTTGCTGAGTTCTTTATAAAGTTTAGATGCAATAGGTTAGTGCCTATGTGTATTCAAATACCCTGTCTCATTATAAGTGCCCCGTTTTGGAATATCTCTCGGTCTGAAATTATTTGTCACTTTTAATGCCAAATCATTATTTATTATTATTTTCCAACAATACCTTCATTTATTTAATTAATCTATCTGCCTAACTGCTCCACTATAATGAGAAGGATGGAGTATTAGTTATATTACTTATTTCCCCCTCTTTTTTATTGGCTACATCTAATGGCTTAATCTTGTGTATGTTTGCAGTATGTAATCATTTTCTACTCAATATCTTTTCCCCATATTTATTGCTGATGTATTTATTGAATTTGAGATTTTAATAGGATCAGCAAAGTAGGGAGCTTTCTCAATGCCATGTTTCTAAACGCGCTAAGAAGCTGAAAGTTAAGGTATGACTGGTGGTGATATCATTCTGAATTTTTTGCTGCCTTACAGATCTTACGACAGCATTGCTCCTTTACTATTTCATATTTGAACTGTGAAGGTTTTGGTTAGACACTCACCTGCATGATCCTGCAGAGTAATGCCTGGTTCACTTAAAAAACCTTTACAAGCATACTTACAGACCTAAGTCTGGAGTCCAGTGTTAATCTGGAAAGCTGCATTTTTTGTTCATATCTATCTAGTACTGCAGCCATTCACTTTAGTAGTCCCTTATTTTTGGAATTGAGAAAATGTTTGTTATAATTATGCGGGTCTGTGTGCTCTCTATTTGAACGCCTGCATACACACATTACTGAATAATGCACGTCTGTTTCTCTAAAATAACTCTGTTGGGTAATTTGGGACTCATGTTATAGACTAGAGTAGAGATTACGTGTAGAATATTTAGGTTGCCATTTTGGAAAATGGTGGAAAACTTTTGGATCTTTTATTCCTATCTGTACTGTCAACAAACTCTTAAAGAAGAGTAAAAATTGCATCTGGAGTTTGTCATATGATTTGTTGTCATCTGGAGTTTATCAATCACATTTATTCATGATTAGTTGTAGGTTGTGCTCAAACTTGGAAGTCATCAAAAATGGATTTTATAGTCATTGTTAATAATCTGAGTAATAATGCCTTTTGCTATATGCAGCCCGGATAGGGAGGGATTCAGAAATATATTGTATTCTGATTCTTT